GTTGCACTGTGATCGTTACTGCTAGCTGAAATACAAAATTTACGGTTGAATAGAAGTAACATGGTTACATAGTTTCTAAAGGCTTTACATTTTAGGTGAGGCAACATAATGTAGATGTTTTCACCTCAGTGAGATGTTTGTTGCCTTTCAGGTTTGGTTAAACTGGCTTCTGCACAATTTTAGTTCTATGTTTAGGTCAGACTGCAATTCCGGGATGTTTAGTACTAGTTAGTAGAGATATTAACTTAGCTGCCTTGTTCCCTAACAGCCTGAGACTGTTACTCATTGGTGGAGACTGCGGTCACATCAGCTGATTGTCAGATAGGATTTTGCTGCTCAGCGATCTTACAGCACGTGATCTCCTCACAGTGCTCAATCTGTTTGTCAGTGAAGGCCTCTGCGCACCACACTGCTCATATTGTCTTTTTTTGGACTACAGATATGCGCCGAAGCCTTATTTAAAGTATTCGTCTGGCTTTTTTTCTTTTTCTTTTTTTTTGCTTGGTTCAGCTCATTTTTAAGGAAGGATGCAGGTTAATGAGGGTATGACTCATGAGCGAGAATAAACGAATCACGTCATTTCTCGTGTTTGTGTCTTTATGAGGGGAGTTTACAAAGTCAGCGCGTTTGAGTAAATTTAGCTGCTTAATTGCACCCTGTGATGTTAACAAACGTCCTCCTAAGCAGATGCTGAAAACTAACTTAGAAATCACACGGGGGCTTAGAAAGAGAATAAAATTGTCAGCTTTTTGTTTCTTCCTTAAGTTCCTTAACATGTTTAGAGAGAAACCTTTTCTTCAAATGGGAAGGAGCAGTCACTCAGTCTTTCTTAGTCTTTCTGTCTGTTTTTGCTTCACAGATATTATTCGATCAGGCCCAGAGATCGATCAAGACGCAGCTTCAAACCTTTGTCAAAGAGTGAGTATTAATTAACCACAGTAAAAACTCATTAACTTACCTTTCACAGCTTCAAACACAAAATATTCAGGAGTAAATACACTACAGGATGATGCGGACAGCATTGTCATTAAATTGCATAAGAGAATATTTTTATTTCTATGTAGGCTTCATAACATCCTCCTCAGTTCTCCTAATTTAGCTCAGAAATTTGGGCAGCTTGTATAATTACAGGAAGGAGTTGCTTCTCTGGTTTATTTCATTATAAGGATTAGCAGTTTTTGCCTCTGGCACATCAGGACTAAACACCCACATCAGCAGCACTTATACTTTACTCAGTATCTTGTGGCGCTCAAATGTGACTTAATCTCACTCAGGAAAATGGCTGCAAATGATAAGTGTGGGGCATGTGGTTCGAGGGCTTTAACAAGAAGCAGGTCAAGGAGTTTGCCTTTGTTTTTAGATTGACATGTTCCTGTTGCCGGACCATTCGTGCTCATTCGTATTCAGAGATTCCTGTAACTATGGACCTTTCCCTTTAAACTTTAACGTCTTAGATTATTGAAGTCCCACTCTTTGTGGAAACTCATTAAAGTTTGTCCTAAATTAGGGTAAGAATTCAGTCTTTCAGTGCAAGCTTTCGTCTTTCACATGTTTATAGTCTAAAATGTGACATTAGCTGTCGTGTCTCTTGAGTTCTGACACTAAATGTTGAGCTCCTTCGGCTTTATGCTCGTACAGTTCAGCCCTACTCGGCCACCAAAGTTTGTGGTTGTTGTAAAACGCATCACGATTAGTATAAACGATCATATACGATTGCTCAAACTGCTGCTGAAAAGCCCACATCCTTTTTATAAGATTAATTGGACACAATTGAAAGTGGCTTTGTCATAAAGCTATAAGTTATTGTCCGTCCATGCAGGCTATAACCTCACATTCACTTCTATGGTCACTTTAGATTCACCAGTTTACCCAAAGCTTTGCATCACTTTGGACTGTGGAAGGAAGCCGGAGTACCCTGAGAGACGCACAAAAACCCAGGATCTGCTGTCATGTTTATACTAATAAACCTCTCTTCCTTTGAAGTGACCTGCGTAAGTTCAAAGAAGCCAAGAAGCAATTTGACAAAGTGAGCGAGGAAAAGGAGACGGCGCTGATCAAGAATGCCCAAGCTCCCCGTAACAAGCAGCACGAGGTGGAGGAGGCCACCAACATCCTCACTGCCACGCGCAAGTGCTTCCGGCACATTGTCCTCGACTACGTCTTACAGGTACGGCCTGCTGGATGTTGAATGACAGCAAGGGATGCAAGTTTGTCTTGCTGCACTGACATGTGGCCTACTGCGCATTTTAAATAGCAGTAGCAGGGTTTTATGCTTACACTTAGGATGATCTAAAAAAAGAAATGCGGTGCTATTTTAGGGAGATTTTGACTTGAAACTGAGGCAGTTTTCAGTGAGACTATATTTATATATAGCAACAGATTGCTGACATTCAGCTTTTAAGTATGGATCTCAAAAAAGCTGAGGTGCACGCTGTCATGTTCAGAATTTGGATGAGAACTTATTATTCAGCATTTATTTTTGCACAGGAATGCTGTGTTTGATTCTGTTCATCCAAAGTGAACAAAAAAAGTAAGAAAGAGGTTTAATAACCTGGTTAGTCGGAAAAGTTTCTTCAGTTTCCAAAATCAGTTTTTGAATGAATGTTGTTCGTCTCCTTTTGCTCGTTTTCTTTCTCATTTTCTCTGTCAAAGCCACTTAGATATTTTCTGCTGTGACCTTACTCGGTGCTTTTGTGCCGTCGAATGCATCAGCTCTGCTCTCAGCCACGGCAGTGCTGATGAATGCTTTGTGGTTTCTGATAAGGCAGCTGGGGGCCCTGTTATTGAATCTCCCTCCCAAAAGAACAGACAATGCTGTATGGGCACCCTTCACTCCTTGAGCAAATGAGATGGTGAATTGAAACCAAACTGGAGGTTTTAATATAGGTTTGGCAGTCTGCTCCAGTGGCCCACTCTATAATCACCGTCTCGTAAAAAAAGAGTCCTGGCTGTGAGAAATGAGTCTGGTTTTTATCTCGCTTTTTAGTGTGCTTATAGGAAATCTATAAGCTAGCAGCTAGCTCAGCTGATTTTTAAATGGGTCTCCATTAAAGTTTCACATTTGGGCAGTGCTGTCAGCACTTTAAAAACTAACTTCTGCAGCGGTGCTTGCAGGAAACATTTGAGACAGACTTTAACTGTATTTTATTTTTATTTTTGTGCTTTTTAGTTCATTTTTTTCATCTTTGCGGCATTTGTGCTTGATTATACAGTACGCAGTTTATAGTGACATGCAAGATGGTAGAGGGAGAGGAAAATATACGAGTGAGGTTGTAAGCCAGACTCGCATTCACGGCGTTTTAAGAGTGAAGCATGTCTCTTTTACTATGTTGTGCCACGTAGAGCTGCAGCATAAAATATTCAACTTCAGGGATTTCCTGGCTCACTGATGGTGAAGTGTGCTGCTAGTCTGGAAAAATGGAAAAGCATCTCGCTCAGAAACCCACCCCCCACCCCCGTATGTTACCACTTCTATTGTTTTCACCACTATTAGAGATAAGCGAAAGTTGTTTGCGTGTAAAAACTTGACAAACCAAACGTGACAAATTGAAATGTTACATTTTTGCAGTTTGCAATTGCTGCAGCTTTACCAACCAATTTCCAAATAACTGCTCTGATAGTTTGCTTGCGGCTGTAGTGTTGACACTATATTGCACACTGAGAGTTAAATAAGCATCGTTTAGAGGTGCTGCTTTGGTCAAAGCTACTAATTGACTGTAATCGAGAAGGAGGGGGGCTTGTAAAAGTCGCGATGCGTCAACTGTTGTGGTTGGGAGATGGAAAAAAATAAGCTTCCTCCCCAGGATGGGAGTTAACATCTGTGCATAAACACAAGTGTGGTTAGAGTTGCTTGAGAAAATTGCCTTGAAACCTGCAGCCATGAAATTACTGCTGACCATAAAAGACATTTCCTTTACTTTTATTCTCCGGGGTATTGAAGCATGGTCACCCTGCTTCACTACACAAACAAAAAGGGGCCGCTGGACTTAGGTTAATTCAGAAGTATGAAGCGAAGTGTGGGATTACTTCTGAAGCTGGCCTTCCTTCCCCACTAGCTAAATGTGTTACCACACCCAGCCAGTGACTCTGCTGTCACACAGCAGACTCGCTGACAGTAACATGAAACAGCCAAGTATCAGCATCTGTTTTTACAATCCACCACAACACATCCCTGCTCTGCAGCATTAAGCTCTGAGAAAATCCGAGGCCAGATGAGGACGGCGGTAATTAGTCTGGACAAATGGCAGAGCCTTCTTCACAAACATTCACACACAGAAGGAGAGACAGGAGGCGATGAGGCGAAGATGAAAAGTGAGACAGGCTTCAACCCACTAAACATGAGGTAGAGGGCTCCCCCTGGTGCTGGTATAATGAAACGCTGCCTATTAATGCTTAGGGAGATGGCGCGATTTTATCCAGCCTCAGTAGTCATTTCACGCCTGTCAGCTTTCTTTGATTTTTCTCAGGCACTTCTTTATGTTTCATCTCCACCAGCTCATCTCATTTTCTGTTCTGTCTCACGCTCTTTAAGTCTTTCCCCCCCCATCTCCACTCCACTTTTTACTCTCTCTCTGCATTTTTCTGTCAGATACCGCATTGTCCCAGATATTTTCTCATAATAATCCCTACTTCTCACTGTTTTGGTTTTTATGAACTTTCAGATAAACGTGCTACAGTCCAAGAGAAGGTCGGAGATCCTAAAATCAGTAAGTTTACTCGTTCTCTCAAATGAAATGAGCTTTCTGTTCTGGGTCGTTCACTCTCAGTTCATCAACTGCCTCCCACGTGACCAGATTTGCCTGGAAAAATTCAAATAGGAAGATTCATGTTGGGGAAATGACTCATCAAAACCCCAAATGTTACATGTAATATTAACAGAAACCTGCAAGACAGATGAAAATGTGTTTTCATGCTTCATTATCTGTAAAACCATTCTGCTGTACAGAATTATTATGTTCCTTTTATATATGAGAAGTATTAAATTAACTCTCAGTCCCCTGACTGTACACTTTTGGTTTCTTCAGGCCTCCTAATCTGCTGTCAGAGATCAGACAAATACATACAAATATTCCTGTGTTAACTCATTATAGTCCACAGTTCTTAGAGCCATAAGATGAGATATTCGGCCTAAATGATTTCCAAGGACTGAGCTCAGATAGTTTTCTAGATAATGAAAATTTAAAATGCCTCCTTTAGCTCTTTCCCTCCATTATTTGAGGACCTCCTCTGCACTCTTAACGATGAGATTTAACACCTCGAGATGTATCAATAAAGCTG